CATTGTGCTTGGTTCCTTGCCCATGTTCTGACAGTCTTTATACCTAATTGCATTATCAAAGGCTGACATAGAAGTAAATTCAGACACAAGTATTGCTGGACTTGTCCAAAGAGGTCAAGAACAGGAGAACCCTTCCTCTGGGTCCTTAGTAACATACTTATTGGAAAAGTCTCTGCTGCAAGAAAATGGGTAATTGAGAAAGTGGCCTTGACACTGTGTATCTGTATTGAAAATACCTTGAAGTCGATTAGTAAGGAACACAATTGCAGATAATAATCATAAATGTTTTTAGTGGGGAGAGACACTTTTATCAAGAAGCTTTAGAGGTGAAAAATGTTGTGGTTTTTTTTTTTTTTTTGAGAGAGAGAAAAAAAAAATTTTTTTTAATATTTATTTGTTAGTTTTCGGTGGACACAATATCTTTATTTTTATGTGGTGCTGAGGATCAAACCCAGCACCCCACGCATGCCAGGTGAGCACGCTACCGCTTGAGCCACATCCCCAGCCCTGTTGTACATGTTTCTATAGCCCAGGTCACAAACAATAAATCCAGTGGGGTGGGGTGACTTAAAGAGACTACTCACCCACAGTAGGTTCATCTGCATCATTCCAGAGCATTCTATCCTACCCCCAACCTATTTAATGTTTCCCTTATTGGCATTGGCTGTCCTGTTCATTTATAGGTGTTTTAAGGATTTCCAGCTTCAGAGGGCCAACAAGATGGAGCTGCGAAAGCAGCAAGAAGATGTGAGTGTGGTCCGCCGCACCGAGTTTTACTTCGCTCAGGCACGGTGGCGCCTGACAGAGGAAGATGGACAGTTAGGAATTGCTGAACTGGAGCTACAGAGGTTCCTCTATAGCAAGGTATCTGAGATACAGTCACACAAAGGCAACTCTTTAAAGCATTGACATACCTCAAGTCCTCAGTTCATATAAAGAGATTAAAAAGGGGGGCTAATTAATATATGATTAGTAATGATGGCCATGATTAGAAACATGAGCCGAGCTTCCTTAGATACTAAATGACACAAACATAGATATGTTTGATCAAATGCTTCTTTCATTAAGATTATCTATCCCTGCAAATGTGGCTCAGAGGGAAGTAATCTTCCAAGTCTAGCTTAGAATAGAAACATTCTAGGATGTGAGGGCGATCTGGCTGCAACATCTGTCACCCCATTGATCGCCAGGGTTGATTCAGCTGATCTGGCTGGGTAGTCAGGTGTCCCCTTCCTCCCTCACCGCTCCATGTGCATCCTTCCTGAAGCTGCACGCTCAGTTGAAGAGGACAACCTTCTCTGATAGAGGAGGACTTCTTTGGTAGCTGCACTTCCCTGCTAGAACCCTCCAAATAAGCTCTCAAGGTCCATTTGTAGGAGAACATAGGTTAGTCAAGCTTCTAAGACTCTAGACACATCCAAATGAGGTGCTCATTTGGATGGGGAAGAGGACATATTCACTACTTTCTCTCACAGAGAATGTTTGGAAATGAATGAGAAAATTTTTAAATGTCATAGTGACTAGGAAGTACTGTTATCCTTAGCCAGGAGTACCAGTGAGAAACACTGGTTTAGAGGGTGTGTGGATTCTGTGACATTTAAAGAGAGATCAAAGATTGGGACTAGGCACATGGAGGATCTGAAAACAAACAGGGTATTTAGCAGTTCTCTAGCAAGCTCCTAAGGTTAATTATAGTGGACTGGGGCAAAAATCTCTCTTTATAGGTGAATAAGTCTGATGACACAGCAGAACATCTTTTGGAGCTGGGCTGGTTCACTATGAACAACCTTCTCCCCAATGCTGTCTATAAGGCAAGTTTTTTTTTTTTCTCTTTTATTGTGATACTGGGGATTAAACCCAGGGCCTTACATATGCAATACAAATACTCTACCACTGAGCTACACCTTCAAACCTGTATAGCAAGTCTTATTTCCTCCTCACTGGTTTATATGCTTTTTTAAAAGCACAGGGCATTTATAATGGCTCTTCTGTGTAAACCCATTAAAAGAAACAATGTGGATCTGAGATGGTAAAATCTTGCTCAGTTTAGAATCTTGCTTCTCTGTATGGAGCATTTGTGGGTTGATTTGTGGCAATGAGGACATTTGATTGGGCTGTTGTTTACTGTGCCCTACAGGTAGTCCTACGGCCCCAGAGTTCCTGCCAGTCTGGGCGACAGTTAGCCCTCCGCCTCTTCAGCAAAGTCCGGCCTCCTGTGGGGGGTATCTCTGTTAAAGAACACTTTGAGGTTAGTGTACAGTCCCTTGGGAGCCCAGAAACAAAGGGCAATCCAAAGATATCTGTGTGTTATACTATGCTAATTAGGGGTAGGAGACTGAGGGATAGTGTCTGAGCTTAATTTCTTCAACTTTTTTTCCCTTTAGGTAAATGTGGTGCCTCTAACCATCCAGCTGACACACCAGTTCTTTCATAGAATGATGGGCTTTTTTTTTCCTGGACGAACTGTGGAAGATGATGAAGTTGGTGATGAAGAGGATAAGTCCAAACTGGTGACTACTGGTAAGAACTTTTATGGTGGAGGACCAGAAGAATGGGGTGGCAGCCACAGAGATAGCAGATGCTTCAGAAGGGGGATGGTAGTTGCTATGCTTGCTTTTTCATAGGAATACCAGTGGTAAAGCCTCGGCAGCTAATTGCAACAGATGATGCCGTACCTCTGGGCCCTGGGAAGGGTGTGGCACAGGGCTTGACTCGAAGTTCTGGGGTCAGAAGGTCATTTCGCAAATCACCTGAGGTACTACATACACCCCTGATAATAGAAAAGTGGGAGAATCTATTGGGCCTGGCTGGGGATTTCTCTTGTTTTCTTTGAGTCTACTCCAGGATTGAAAGGAAGGGGTGGTATTTAGGGTCCTGCATTTCTTCTGATAGTTCCAGAGGCTCATGATATTCTTGTGCTTTTCCCAGCATCCTGTGGATGACATTGACAAGATGAAAGAGCGAGCTGCCATGAACAACTCCTTCATCTACATAAAGATTCCACAGGTTCCACTGTGTGTCAGCTATAAGGTCTGTACCTCCCCAGCATTTTTTAGGAACAGAATGGGAATTTAGAACAGAATGGAAAGGGTACCAGTAAAGATCATCAGGGATTATAATCAGAGATTATAGACAAACTGGGTGGTAAATCTGCTGTTCCTTCTGCTCCCTGCAGCGGTTAGCATCTTACTAGACTGAGGTAAGGAGAAATCAGTATCTGTAGGTTGATGTTGCAGGACTGATTTACACTCAAGTACTGGCATAGATTCAGAGTAGTGCTTATGTACTTTTTTCCCCTCTTCTCTTCTCTCCCCCTTCTCTTGCAGGGTGAAAAGAACAGTGTGGACTGGGGTGACCTTAATCTGGTGCTGCCTTGTCTGGAGTACCACAACAACACATGGACATGGCTAGACTTTGCCATGGCAGTCAAAAGGGATAGCCGCAAAGCCCTGGTTGCCCAGGTATCCCGCCAGGGCTCATGGCTGTTTGGTTAACAGGGGCTGGCAAGTAGATCCCCTGCTCAGGAACCTTTGTTTTAGGATATATTTAATAGGGTTTTGAGAATGGGCAGGTGACTGAAGTGAGAGCCTTCTTCTCTTTTGTCCTCGCCACAACTTTGCCCAAATGATTAAATTAAATGTTTAATACTGCTTTGTGTAATGTTGACAACTATTAATTTTAGGGAACTAAGGGCTGCTACAACCTTAAGTTTAGAATGGGTTTTAATTAGACTGTGAGCTTCTTGAAAGCAGTGACCATTTTATAATTTGAGCTGCTCTCTTGTGATCTGTATATATGTTTAATAAATCTTGGTTGACTTGGTTCACTTTGATTTATTCTGCTTGCCCCACTAATATTTACCTTTCCTTTTACTCCTCTCCAACCTGCCAGGTAATCAAAGAAAAATTAAGGCTGAAGCCTGCAACAGGGTCTGAGGTCCGAGGGAAGCTAGAAACTAAATCAGACCTGAATATGAAACAGCAGGAAGAGGAGGAGAAAGCTCGGCTCCTCATCGGTTTAAGTGTGGGTGACAAGAACCCTGGCAAGAAGTCCATCTTTGGCAGGCGCAAGTGATCTGGCAATTCAAGTGGCTGCAGTACATGATCTGACTCTGGCTCAGGCCCAGGGACTTGTGGGATGGGAGGGGCTTCCCCTTATCCACCAGGATTTGTGGGGGTTAGAGCCCACAGAGTACTATGGAGGGAGGCATAGCTCTTTAGCAGCTGGCCTGTTGCCCGCAGGGCATGGTGGACAATAATACTGAGTTCATCTCATGCTGATTAGGCCCAGGGCCAAAGAGAAGAAGAGAGCAAGACCCCAGGAAATGGGCCCATGGCTAGGATCCTGTTTTCTTGGGGTCAAGTGGAAGGGTGGGGGGATAGTCCTGATCAAGTATGATAAATTTTTATAGACATATATATATATATATACATAAATATATATATATACACACACACATATAAATATATTTCTAAGCATAACTGCTTTCCCTCTGTGCCAGGAAGCCAAGGGGAAGGGGCTGATCCTCTGTCCCTCACTCTACTGCCTTGTATGAAAAAGGTGTTAGTGTTCTAGGGGAGAATCAGCTTTTCCCCAATCTGTGTGCTCGCTTGGGAGGATGGCAATAGGAGCTAGGGCTGGCCATGGGTTCCCTACTCTTCCCCCTGGATTATGCCCTGGAGAATGGCAAAAAAAAAAAAAAAATGACCTAAGGAGAAAAAAAAATATTTTAAATTTGATGCTGTTTTTTTGGTTTATTTTTTGTGTTGAGTGCATGTGTTCAAACTGTCTGTATCCTCTTCTCCCCACCTACCTGAAACATCCTATAGCTGCCACTCTGAGGGTGGCCTCTTTTCTTCTGTGCCTGAAGGTTTTATCACAGATACTTGCCAGTCCTCGTATGACATTGGTCCAAAGCTGATGGGTCTGTGCACATTAGAATAGGCGGGGCTCCTGTTTAATTCAGCATCCAGTGGAGGGATTGCTTATATAACTGGGACAGCAGATTTAGTGGAAGGAGAGGAGGCAGAGGCTGGGAATGGGAGCAGTGAGCTGTCGGCAGGGGCAACACACTCAGGTGACTGCACCTCACAAGGTAGGCTGTAGGGGCTCTGGCAGCCTATTGAGAGAAAGTGAAGGAGGCATGGGCCTCCTGAGGCCCAGGAAGTGCCTAGTTACTAGCATGTCAGTGATACCCATTGTGGGGGTGGGACAGGGAGACTATGTTGTGAAAGCATTGCAGCCCTGTTCTGAGGCACAGGTTGTTTTCCTGGTGCATCATGAAAAAAAAATTCCAACAGTTGCTTTACTAGAGGATTTGAATTATGTCCAGGAAATCCAGATCTTCTCACAAAGCAAGGGTAATAGGAATTTTGATTGGTACTCAAAAATGTACCTCTAATGATTGAGATTTGAGGGGAGTGCCTACTAACATGTACAGAAACTGTAATACTTCAGGGCCAGGTTTAGAGTGGCTCCCTTGCTTCTCAGCAGGGTGACAACTTCCAGGGCCCTTGGGTCCGAGGCTGGAAGAGCCTCTGGTCAGGTATGGGGACCATCAGGTCAGGTCTGGAAGAACTATGGCAACTACAAGGGCATCAATGCCTACACCAGGAGCCCCTAGAGGCGACCCCACTGCTGGTAGAGAAGCCTTTGTCTGAGTGGCCAGTGCCTCAGTTCATCAGCCTCTTTCTACCAGAGTTTCCCATGAGGCCCATTAGGGGGCAGCAGCAGTTGAAGGTAAGACATCTGAATCCCTGGGAGTGGGTCTCTTTGGGGGAATCTATAAACCATCTTTCTATTCTCTTTCTCCATATAGATTTTAGGTCTTGTGGCTAAAGGCTCTTTTGGAACTGTCCTGAAGGTGGTAGATTGTGCCCAGAAAGCTGTATTTGCAGTGAAGGTAGGTGCCTGGGTACTCCTTCACATTACTCTCCAGTTCCTGCTTCCCATCTTTGTTCCTGAGAGTTTCGGAGGAATAAACAATTCAATTGCATGATTCTCTATTAAGTCATCACTCTTTCCTTTTATAGGTGGTACCCAAGGTAAAAGTCCTACAGAGGGACACCCTGAGGCAGTGCAAAGAGGAGGTCAACATCCAGGTATGCACAGAGTCCTGGAAGGATGATGGGAAGAACCACAGGAAAGCATCATTCTTGATCAGCTTTCTAATTTTTCTGGTTCTGTTCTCCCCATCTGCTTTAACCTTAACACCAAAGTAGATCCTAAAAAAAGTAGCTAGTACCTATTAACAGTTATTCTAAGTTCTGTGAGGGAAATCTCTCCAACATGTCCTAGTGTGTTCTTTAGTGTTATGCTGGTTCCAAGATTACCAGGTAGTCCTAATTACTGAGTTCCTCTGAATGCAGAGTTGAAGTAGCTGCTCAATTTCTGCACAACCTGATTTTTTGGCTGACTCTCTCTTCAGTGACACTGTTCTTTTCCTAACTTCCTGATTTCTTTGTCCCTAGAGACAGATCAACCACCCTTTTGTACACAGCTTGGGGGACAGCTGGCAGGGAAAACGGCATCTCTTCATCAGTGAGTGACTGGCCTCTTTCCTCATCCCCTAGGGTCCACCTACCATTGTTGCCACTTAAGGTTATCTATCTCTTTAGGCTTATTTTGCCTTTGCTGTCTTCCCCTTCTCATAGCACTTCTCTATTCCAAAGGGAGAGGGAATAGCAGGTGATATCAGTTTGGATAGGAGGCCTATAATGCCTTGAGCCCTGGCATTGTAATCCCCCAAACATTGCCTAGATTTCTGGTGCTTTGCAGTGTGTAGCTACTGCAGCACTGATCTGTACTCCCTGTGGTCTGCTGTTGGCTGCTTTCCTGAGGCTTCCATCCGTCTCTTTGCGGCTGAGCTGGTCCTTGTGCTGTGTAAGTAAGAAAGGGAAATGGGAAGGGAAGAATTAAGTTGATGGGGAGGAGAGAATTGATATTAACTCTGGAAGCCAAAGAATAAGGAGAAAGATAAAGTAGGGGTTACCAGGGAAACTGGAAGGAACAGGAGAACTTCAGTACATCCCATGCTTACTGTCATCCACAGGCTATCTCCATGACGTGGGCATCATCCATCGAGACGTGAAGGTAGAGTTAATTGCTTTTTCACCTAGTCTGATGTGGGGGCTCAATAAGAATTTCCAACAGGTCTGAGGAGAAAGCAGTTGGAGAGCTGAGAATAGTTGGTCTTGGGGCCCCAGTGGGTGCTAAGGATTTGTGTGATGGCTCTTCCAAATATAGCTTTGAATGCTGAGTAAGGGCATCTTCTTCATTTTGAAGGGTATACATGATGAAAGAGTTGAAGAGGAATAATAATAACTTCTCCTCTGTGATCTTTCAGATGGAGAATATCCTTCTGGATGAAAGAGGTAAGTCTTTTCTTCCCTAGCCCCAGGATGAGAGATACCCTTATCATGGCTGATCAGGGGTGGCACAGAGTGCTGTTGTGGTTGCCTTATGTTCTTTCATAGGCCATCTGAAACTGACAGACTTTGGTCTGTCCCGCCACCTGCCCCAGGGAGCCCGAGCCTATACTATCTGTGGCACTCTTCAATACATGGGTGAGAGAGGCTAAAGCTGGTGGGTAAATACTGGACTGGTATATAGCCAAAGGATGTCATGATGGGTATCTTTCAAATCCATAGCCCCAGAGGTCCTGAGTGGTGGGCCTTACAACCATGCTGCTGATTGGTGGTCCCTGGGTGTCTTGCTTTTCTCTCTGGCAACTGGAAAGGTGAGAGATTGGTAGTGGTATTGGGCAGAGAAGAGAACTTTGCCCTGTGGTGGAAAGAAGAAAGACCTTAGGAAATCTTGTCTCATTCCCTCCTCCACCTCTTAACTCAGTTCCCAGTGGCTGCAGAGAGAGATCATGTGGCCATGTTGGCAAGTGTGACCCACTGTGACTCTGAAATTCCAGCTTCTCTTAACCAGGAGCTCTCTCTCCTGCTTCATGAGGTAAGGGTTAGCACTGCTTTCCTTTTTGACTGTTAAACTATTCACTGTTCTATCATTAAGGTGATATTTCCCATTTCTCTGATTAATATTTTTTGGGGTTTTGGGGGATTACTTAAACTTAATCTAATTATCTGCCCTCTAACCATACATTCCTGAGTTCCTGGTCCTCCAAATCACCTCACCATCCAGAACAGACAGATCCTTTCAGAGTCTTGACCAGTGCTGCACTCTTCCCATCTGAAAATTCACACATCTTAGCTCCTTTATTTCTACCTTTGCCTCAAATTAGCCTGTTTCTCCCCCTTTTACAAATCTTTTACTCTTTAGAGTTCTTTTTCCTGTTCTCCACAGTTCCGTGAACTTCATTCTCCCTTTTCATGATCTTTGTTTAGTCTCTTTCCTGTCCCAATTCCTCATCCTTCATACTCTATTTCCCTTCAGCTCCTATGCCAGAACCCCCTCCACCGTCTACGTTATCTACATCACTTCCAAGTCCACCCATTCTTTAGGGGTGTGACCTTTGACCCAGAGCTCCTACAGAAGCAGCCAGTGGACTTTGTCATGAAGACACAAGATACTCAGCCCAGTCCATTGGAGTCCAACCCCTTCAAGGACTTTGACTGTGATCTGGAGTCCTTCTTGGTCCACTCTGTTCCTGCTTGACCCTGTCTACTATAGATTGGGGCCCAGCTGGGAACCTGAGGATCTCCTCCACTACCAACTCAGTATTACCACTTTGATGATCCAGTTTTGACTTTGTAGCCCCTTACTATTCTATTCTTCTAGGCATTAGTCTAGAGTTCAAACTTTGGGCACTCAGTTCCCCATCATACAACTTACTGGTTCATATAACATCTCAGGTCAGAGTGGTAACTTTTTCCTTTGTTTCACTTCTCCAGTCTGTAGCAAAAGGCTTCCTCTACCTTTCCCTTTCCTTGTTTCTTTGCCATGTTTCCTTTCTTGGGTAATAACAACACTTCATGGACTCCAAAGGTGCTATTTATATGTTTAATAGGCTAGGCAGAAGAAATACGTTTTTCAAAGGCTTAAAAAGTTGGCATCTTAACACCTAAATATGCAGCTAAAAAATAGAGTCTGGGAGTTGGGCATAGTGATGCATGTCTGTAATCCTAGCTACTTGGGAGGATAAGGCAGGAAAAGTTTGAGGCCAGACTTGGCAACTGAATGTCTCAAAATGGGAAAAAAAAAGGGGGGGGGGCTGGGGTTGTAGTAGAATGTTCTTGAGTTCAACCCACAATACTGGGGTTAGGGGGAACTAAAACAAAAAACTGAGGCTAAGGGTCAGTTGTCAGTAAATCTAATTTTTAAAAATTGGAAAATGAGCTAGGTATGGTGGTGCATGCCTGTAATCACAGAAACTTGGGAAGCTGAGGCAGGAGGATCATAAGTTCAAGGTGAACCTCAGCAACTTAGCAAGACCATGTCTCAAAATAAGAAATAAAAAGGGCTGGGGTTATACAGTGGTAAAGCACCCCTAGGTTCACTAATTAATATCAAAAAAGGTGGGAATGAATGCAATAGCCTAAAGTGAAAAAGAAAATAGAAACTAAAACATGGGAGGATTAAATGTCTTCTCTAGGGGTAACTGGAATAGCTACCAAAATATTTTCCAAAAGACAAAAAGAAGTAGTGAGCTGAACGTTTCTCCTAGACAGCTCAAAATGCAGTTTTTTATGGGCAAATCAAAGGATTCAAAGGCATACATCAACCTTAAGATTTAAGGTTAGAGATGTATCTCAAGAACCTTTCCCTTTTGTAAGGAAAATCACCTGGTCCTTGAATTTACATACAATTCTATTTTTTTTTTTTTAGTGCTGAGGATTGAACCCAGGGCCTTATGTATGCAAGGCAAGCACTTTACCAACTGAGCTATATCCCCAGCCCTACAATTCTATCTTTTATGACTTTCTTTTTTCATTTTCCTAAACTAACTTCTCAAAAACTTCATTTTAGTTCTGATATTTGAGGGGAAAATTTGCTTTTAGCTGGGCATGATGGTGCATATCTATAATCCCAGCAGCTCTGGAGGCTGAGGCAGGAGGATTATGAATTCAAAGCCAGCCTTAGCAACTTAGGGTCTTGCTGAATTCTTAGTGCCTCACTATCTCTAAATAACATATAAAAGAGCTAGGAATATAGCTCAGTGGTGGAGCACCCTTGTGTTCAATCCTTGGAATTACACCCCCCCCCGAAATTTGCTTTTATATAGACCACATTATATCTTCAATTATATCTGATCTCTCTTTTCCAATCCAAAGAGTCTGAGAGTATCCTGTATATTTGTGCTTACTATTTCTGTCTCTGTATTAAGCCAGATTTTGTCTGTATATAATTGGCATTTTGTTAGTCTCTGCAGAATTGCTTTTTCTGGATTGTACTTCAGCAGTCCATATGAATCTCTATAAAACTTGAGTCTGTAAAAAGGTGTTGATCATTACAGTTCATAAATTTTCTCTTTATCTAGTTGTGCTTTTCCTGAATTGCTGTTTGGTTTTTACCTTAAAGATAGTAAATATTCAACTGACTATCTTTTTCTTCTCATGCTAATACTAGACTACTTAAAGCCCAAATTGTGCCCCACCTTCAGCAACCATTTATGTATTTAGCATGTTAGTCACATTCTTGGTTCCAACTTGCTTTTATTTTCCTTATTCTCAGTTTTCTATTCTAATCTTTTTAAAAATTACTGTATTATCTACATTTTTGTAAGCCTTTTTTGGAATAAGATTGGGATATAAATAAATAAAAGAGAATGTATCCTTTATCCTTTTATCTCATTTTTATAGTTTTTTTACGTTTTAAAAAGTTGTAATGAGGGCTGGGGATGTGGCTCAGTGGTAGAGCACTTGTCTCACATATGTGAGACACTGTGTTCAATTCTCAGCATTGCATATAAATAAGTGAATAAAATAAAGGTCCATCAACAACCAAAAAAAAATTGTAATGAACAGAATTATATATTGGATAAAATCCCTAAACATAAAAACATGGGAATTGATGGTTTCTAAAATAGCAGTTAAGAGCATTAGCTTAGAATTTATATCTGATGCCTAGATTTATCTGTCTCTGCCTTTTTTGGGGGGTAGGGGTACTGGAGATTGAACTCAGAGGCACCTGACTACTGAGCCATATCATATCCCCAGCCCTATTTTGTATTTTACTGAGAGACAGGTCTCACTCAGTTCCTTAGTGCCTCGGTTTTTTTGCTGAAGCTGGCTTTGAACTCAAGATCCTCTTGTTTTAGCCTTCTGAGCCGCTGGGATTACGGGCATGTGCCATGGTGCCCAGCCATCTCATTGTTTTTAAATAAGTCATTTCAACCCTTCTGGAGCATAGTTTCCTGATAAATAAAGATTATTTTATTTATTATTATTATTTTTGGGGGGAGGGGGAGTGCCAGGGAGGTTTCTTACTCTAATCTAAGGGTCTGGGGTAAACTCAGCAAGCACTCTACCACTGAGATACATCCCCAGCCCTAACCACTGGTTCTTAATTGTGGAGGGGTGGAATTCAGATTTCAGTGATGCTTTTTGAAAGGTAGACAGAGAAATTTTATGATACTATATTTCTGGTTCAATGTTAATGTTAGGTTATCCACCATTATGTGGCATTTCTGTTCACAGCAGCACAATGTGTTAAGATCCTTAGGAAATGTTTAATATAGTGTCACTAGAATCCTTTTCCTAGGTCAAATTAGATAGCTTGGAGATCATCATCATGTAAATGTAGTTTGAATTATTTCTTACCAAATAAGGACATTTTTTTAGGTGGCTCCATGGTGCAGTGAATAGCACATTAGACTTCCAAATGAGGACATTTTCAACATACTCTTCAGTGATATACTTCAGCAGTGATTTTCAGGGTATAGTGGAGAAGGTAAAAGAAAAAAAATTAAGTGAAAAGCTGGAAAAACTGGCTGACCTCGAACTTGCAATGCTCCTGCCTCAGCCTCCTAAGTAGCTGGGTTATAAGTATGTGCCACTGCACCTGACTCATATATATTTTTTAAAGCTCTTGACAAAAAAAAAAAAAAAAAAACCTTTTTGAAAATTCTACTTAAAAGAAGTAACCAATGAGCTGGGCATGTTGGCACATGGCCTGTATCCCAGCTACATGGGAAGCTGAGGCCCATAAATTTGAGGCCACCTCGGCGAATTAGCAAGGCCCTCAGCAACTCAAAAAATAAAAAGTACTGGGGATGTAGCTCAGTGGTGAAGTGCCCTTGGGTTAAATCCCCAGTACCAAAACAACAACAACAACAAAACTACATTATTAATTCCTGTTATGGGCTGAATTGTATCCTCACCAAAATTGTTATGTTGAAGTCCTAACCTCCAGTACCTCATAAAGTGATTTTATTTAAAAATTAGTCTTTAAAGAGGTAATCAAGAACAGATTTGGACACAGAAGGAAGACCATTTGAAGACAGGAAGAAGATGGCTATGTGTAAACCAATGAGAGAAGCCTCCCAACCCTGTTGGCACCTTGATCTCAGATTATAGCTTCCGGAATTATGAGAAAATAAATTTTTGTTGTTTAAGCCATCCTATAGATAGAACTTTGTTAAGGCAGCCCTAGCAAACTAATACAATTCTTATGAAGAATTTTAAAAGATTAATCAGGAATGATTATTTTGTTTACAAAAGGGCTACTTTTCCCCCTATAGGTTGGTTTTGCTCATATTTTTTTTTTAGTTGTAGATGAACACAATACCTTTATTTATTTTATGTGGTGCTGAAGATCGAACCCAGTGCCTCATGCGTGCAAGGTAAGCACTCTACCACTGAGCCACAACCTCAGCCTGCTTATATTCTGAGAATATGTTTCAGATTTTATTGGCCTCTCCATGAGTTTTGCTGGTATACAGAGTCCTATTGATTAGCAACTGTCACACTGCCTGCCTTGTTCGGTATATCATTATACAATAGCAGGTGTTGCCGTCTATCCTAGCTGGAGACCTAATCTTTACTATTCCAATAACTCAAAAAAAAATGACAAAGAAAGCATGCAATCACAGAGATATACCTTTTCAATATTCCTGAGACAGCTCTGTGTCCTTAAGAGTCCGTGGAAAGAGAGAGAGCCACCAAAATTCTTTATTCTTAAATAAGGATCACACAAAGGGAGGTTCCATGGAACATTCTATCCCCAAAAGGGCAAAAGGGTAGGATTACAAAGGAACAGGTGAGTGTAACTCAACCACCACAGGTGATGCCTATACCTGGAGCCACACCTTGCTATCTGAGCTGGGATAATACCCAAGTCACTATAAAATGTAGTAATTGGTCAGAGCCCCAGGGCATCAGGACTTGAAAGTGGGTTCATCCAAGGCAGCTCCCAACAAGCAGGGATAACAATTCCTTAGTTTCATCATTTGATTCTACTCAAAAATGTCTAGTGGATACTTACAGGGTAGTTGATTTGGATTACATAGTTAGATTTTTATAAAATAAAAAATTTCTAGTCCTAAAATTTAAAAATTATAAATTTTAAAATAGTTGAAACCCTATCTCATATTATGCTATATACTTAATTCTAAATATTTAAATGTAATCATCAAAACATTAAAAATATTAGAACAGAAGGCTGGGCTTGTAGCTCAGTGGTAGAGTGCTTTCTCTGAATGTGGAAGGCACTGGGTTCGAGCCTCAGCACCACATAAAAATAAAATAAAGGCATCCATCTACAACTGGAAAAAAAAAAATCTTAGAACAGGGACTGGGGCTGTAAGTAGTAAGATGCTTGCCTAGCACGTATGAGGCACTAGGTTTGATTCTCAGCACCACATAAATAAATAAAAAAATAAATAAAGGTATTCAGTCCATCTACAACTAAAATATAAAAATAATTATCCCAACTTATTAAAAATAACATTAAAAAATAAAGGTATTGGGGCTGAGATTGTGGTTCAAGTGGTAGAGTGCTTGCCTCTAGCACGTGTGAGGCACTAGGTTCGATCCTCAGCACCACATAAAAATAAAATAAAGATATTGTATCCACCTAAGACTGACTAAATAAATAAATATTTTTTTAGAAAGGTATTGTATCTATCTACAAATATATATGTGTGTGTGTGTGTGTGTATAATGTATGTATATACATCTGGGAGACTAGGTCTACAATGAAGAATTGAAGGAGATATTTAAACCAAGAAAGAAAATGAAAATGCCATAATAGAAATAAATTTATATAAAATTTTGATGAATGAATGACTCAACCAAGATGAGAAATCCAGATGCTATGAAAGAAAAAAAAATCTCAACCACATAAAAACTATAGCTAGCTGACAGTGGCAGGGCATGCCTGTAATCGCAGGGGCTCAGGAGGCTGAGGTAGGACTGAAAGTTCAATGCCAGCCTCCGAAATTTAATGAGGCTAAGCCACTTAGTAGACCTTGTCTCTAAATAAAAAAAGAGCTGGGGATGTGGCTCAGTGGTTAAGTGCCCCTAGGTTCAATCACCAGTACCCCCCCCAAAAAAAAAACATACTACAGCTAAAGATATTATTAATCAAATCAGTGGACAAAAAATATATTTTAAAAAAAGTGTCAGGAGTGGTGGCACATATGACTTGGTAGGCTTAGGCAGGAAGATCTCAAGTTCCACGCCAGCCTCAGCAATTTAGTGAGGCCCCAATCAACTTAGTAAGACCCTGTCTCAAAGAAAAAAAAAAAAATGCTGGTGGGTAGGTAGGGCTGAAGATGTAGTTCAGTGGTAAAAATGTAGTTCTGGGTTCAATCCCCAGTATCCCCCTCCGAGTTAAAA